CCTCAAACTCAGGAACTGTGAGATCACGACCTGAGCTGAAACCACAAGTCAGATGCTTAAGCAACTGAACCACCCAGGCACCCCTAAATACATACTGATTTCTGTAAGTTGTGTGGTTTTAGTAATTCAATAATAAAATTCACCATTTTTGTAATCCTCTAACTTTTTAGAAGTTACCTACTTTGTAGTATTTAGGAAATAATATTCTTAACACAACAAACTACAAAAGCTTCATGTACCTGAGAGCTCTTCCCATGGTCTCGTAATTCATGTCAGGTTTGTTTTTGTGCTTTCCCCACAACCTGGATACTGCTTTGGAATCTACCAGTTTAAAAATGCCTTTTTCTCGCTGGGTCCATTTGATATATTTAGGACAAGTAGCTTTGTCCTGGAGCAGTGCCAGTAAAAACTCCCAAAGATAAATTGTGTTTCCTGAAACAAAAGCAATTTCTGTTGAACTGATTACAATTTCATTTGAAAGAGCAAAATTAAACACAACTAAAAGTCTTATGTAAGATGTCTGGACAGAGCAATCTTGGCAATTAGATTTCTGATAACTTAGGGAGAAAAAAAAACACTTTGAGAGGAATTTTTTCTTACCTCTTTAAGAACCATTACCTAAGAAAAACAGTGAAAAAGAGTTGTACAAAACATTCAATAGTTGTTCTTTTTATATCAAATGGATTGACCTTAATTTTTTTCATATTTGGGCAGCAGTTATGAAAATATGAGAACTTCAAAACAGTATTATAAAGTGTCTATGAACTGAAAGGCTAACCTGGCTGAACTCTCCCAAGAGACTCATTATTAAATGAAAGGACACACAGGTACATAAACAAATCTCTTGAATGGAAAAGTGCCAACGTACTTTATAAGCATGTGGTAGCAATAAGATCCATTTCAATAAGTCAAGAGAGCTGGTAGTTTTTCCTTACAAAATGCAGATATTTTAAAGCAATCTGTTACTTGACCTATAAGTATTACAAGGAAATTATAGTACTTACCCTTACCATCTTTATTTTTCTTCTTCACAGATATGTTCGGCGTAGTGGCTGGGGAATCTGGTCGTGGAGGTTTTGTTTTTCTCCCTGAAAACAGAACAGCTCTGTGTAAGTATTTGCCCTCAAAAGTGAAAGAGAATGAACAATTTAGCTGTTTATAAATGCTATTTGGTCATTTATCTTAAATTTTAATGCTTTATACATGGATCACACATAATGGTCTCCTAAATGCTATTTACTCAAAAGGAAAATAACTTCAGTGAAATTTTATCATTAGCATAGGTTAGAGCACAAACACTTTATGTATATATCAGCTCATTTATAAAAATGAGGTTAAGTTTAAAACATTATATCTTGTCTTCGAGGGAACAAAACTGACTGCTTTCTTAAAATTTGGGGGAACATTCTTGACATTGATAAGACTGGGGCTCAAAAAATAAGCCATACAAGTTTGTCTGTTGGTTACATAAGCTTTTTATGGTAGGAGAAGTTGACTTTTAGCTTTTCTCACATCTGCATACACGTAATTCTCAAATACTAGAAAGGTCCCAAAACTTTACAGATAGAAAAATATGTGAGGCAAAATTTTGGTGAACCACATAGTCTATTTTTATTTTCCTATGTATTTTTAATCATCTTATTTTTCTGTATTTCTTTTAATTCACACAAAACAGTTTTGCACATTATATAAATTATAGTTATGCTTCATTCAATCTCTAAACAAGTCCATTCCAACAGTGTTAAATGTAGTTTGTGCAACCTTAGTCTGGCTCAACCAACTATTCTAAAGCCTTGTTTGTGATCTTCTTTTGCCATTTCTCTAGGAACACAACTTGGTGGCAATGTTGCCTGAGATTTAGGTTGAGATGATCATGCTGTCTGAATAGACTACCATTCTATACATAAGAAACCAATGAAGATTAAGCATAAATGGACACCTTAGTTAGCATATTTTGTCCCAACATTCTTCAGGCTCTATCTGGTCTAGGTCACAAGGGTAAATTCCGGATTAGTGCAATGTAGAGCAAGAACTTAGAAGAACAGAATTCTAGAGATAAAGTCATTAGGTTAGTTAAGAACACATCCCCAAGCTGAATAGGAAAAACTTCTAAAGGTGCATAAGAGGATCAAAAACAGATCACTTTTGAGGAGGCTGGGTGGTTCAGTTGGTTAAGCATCCAACTCCCCTGCTCTCACAAAGTCACTCTTCAGGCCCCTCTCAATGCATAAATATAAAACCTAGTCAGCCAGGTATCGTGACTTCCATCACTGCAGGAAAATTTGCAGAGAACAATTCATGAGGCAGACACCTCTGGGTGACCACGTTAATGATAACAAATACTATAAGTGAAGATATTAGAAATATTAGTTAGCTCCTATCCCTCCTACCCTTTTATTTTATGCTTTCTATTTACATACCTTTTCTGATATCATTTTCTTCTTCCCACTGTTTTCACCACTAGTTTCAGTCAAGACAGAGACTGTTAGTAAACCTATCCAATACCCATCCTTTCCATTGGCTTCCTTACTATTCAAGATGGCAATGTGCACAGCTTCATGTGAGTTATACATTAGTTGGGTATAGAATTTTTGGTTGACAGTTATTTCTTCTTAATACTTTGAAGATAGCCAACACTCCCATCCTCTACTGGGAGCTTCTAAGCTGCCAATCTAAAAATCAATCCTCTTCAAGTTTCTCCTCTGGTTAGTTCGTTCTTTCTTCTTCCTCTTCTTCTTTTTTTGGGCGGGGTGAAGGGAGTGCTGTGTTTTGCATTTTTTTCTATAATGTATTTAGATCTGGACTTCTTTTAGTTATGCTACTCAGGATTCACCATGCTGGGATGTCACTTTGGAAAACTCTCAGTCATTACCTTTGAATACTGCCTCCTCTTGCTCTACATATTCTCTTTTTCTGGACCTTTGATCAAACATGTAGACCTTTTCATTCAATCCTCACATCTCTGACTCTCATGTTTTTTATTCTACATCAGATCTATATTGGAACTCATTAATGCTTTTAAACAGTGACTAATCTGCTGTTTAACCTATATATTATGTGTTCTACTTGGTTCCTTATGACATCAGTCTTCCACCATTAATTAGGATGTTAGTCTTTCACGTTAAAAATAGCTTTACAAAGTATAACAGATATACAATAAATTGCATATGCTTAAAGTCTATAAGTCGGTATCTTCCAACATGTTTTTACCTGTGAAATCATCACTATGTTCAAAACAGTGAGCATATCCTTCCCTCCCAAAAGTACTTTGTACCCCTCTGTAAGCCTTACATCTTACCTCTCCCACTCTGCCCAATCCAAAGGTAACCAACTACTCACATATTTTCTGTCATTATATATTAGTTTGCAGTTTGCACAATTTTATATAAATAGAAACATATATATTAAAAAATCTGGCTTCTTTCCAAATTGGCATAATTATGCTGAGATTCATCCATTTTTGTTGTATGTATCAATAGTATACTCTATTTTATTGCTGAGTGTTACTTCATTGTACAGGTATACCACAAATTTGTTTATTTAATCAGCAGTTGATAGACATTTGGGTTGTTTCAAGTTTGGAGCTATTATTGCAAAGAAAATTGCTAAGAACATTCATTCATGCATACGTTTTTCTATAAACATATGGCTTCATTTATTTTGGGTAAACACTCAGTAGAAGAATGGCTGGGTCACATGTTAAGCATGCATTAAATGTTTTAAGAAATTGCCAAACTGAAAAAAGAAAGAAAGACAGAAAGACAGAAAGAAAGGAAAGGAAAAAAGAAAGAGAAAAAGAGGAAACAAAGAGTGAGCCAAACAAACAAAAAAATTCTCTATGCAGTAAGGTGGGGTAATCATAGGGCTCACCCTCATTTGTTTCCTGTTTCTCAGAGATCACTTGCTTTTGTTGACTGATATCCACTTTTTAATAGCACTTTTTCATACATTTGTCTGTATTTTCAAGTTGTTTAAATAGGAAAGTAAATCCAGATTCTGGAGATTTTTTAATTAAAATTTTTTTCCAGCTTTATTGAGATATAATGACATATAATTGTGTATCTTTAAGATGTACAATGCAATGTTGTGATACACTTCTATGTTGTAAAATGATTACCACAGTAGGGTCAGTTAATATACCATCACATCACATAATAATTACTTGGTTGTGGGGGTGTGAACATTTAAGATGTTAGCAACTTTCTCTATTAGCAACTTTTAAATATACAATACATATTGTACTGTTAACCAAAGTCACCACGCTGTACATTAGGTCCCCATACTCATTTTATACCTGGAAGCTTGTATCCTTCATTGACATCTCCCCATTTCCTCCTCCTAGCAACCATCGTTTTTCTCTCTGCTTCTAGGAGTTCGGCTATTTCAGATTCCACATGTGAGAGCACACAATATTTGTCTTTCTCTGACTTATTTCACTTAGCATAATACTCTCAAGGTCCACCTATGTTTTTTAATGTGCAATGAACATGGGAATGCAGGTATTGTTTTGATATCTTATTTTCATTTCTTTTGAATATATGTATCCAGGTGTAAGATTGCTAGGTCATATGGTTATTTGTAGTTTTAACATTTTGAGGAACCTCCGTGCTGTTTTCCATAGTGGCTGTACCAATTTACATTCCCACCAACAGTGCACAAGGGTTCCTTTTTCTCCACATCCCTGCCAACACTCATTATCTCTTGCCTTTTTGATGACAGTCACTGTGACAGGTGTGAGGTGACAGCTTATTGTGGTTTTGATTTGCAGTTTTCTGACAATTAGTGATGTTGAGCATCTTTTCACGTACCTGTTGGCCATCTGTATGTCTTCTTTAGTCTATTCAATGTCTATTCAAGGCCCTCTGACCATTTTTTAATCAGTTTTTTTTTTTTTTTTGCTATTGAGTTGTAGGAGTTCTTTATGTGTTTCTGACTGAATATTAACCCCTTATCAGATATATGGCTTGCAAATATTTTCTCCAATTCTGTAGGCTGCCTTTCATTTTTTTGATGGTTTCTTTTGCTGTGAAGAAGCTTTTTAGTTTAATGTAGTCCCACTTACAATTTTTTCTTTTGTTGTCCCCAAATCATTGCCAAACCAGGTTCTGTCATTCCATGTTGTCTGGAAGAAGACATTCCACCCGGTATTTTTTAACAGTCTCATTCTTTGACTTTGTTTTTCATTCTTTTGCCTTAATAATTGCAGTCATAGTCACTGAAAGTTTGTATTTGATAATTCGACTGTCTTAAGTTCTTAGAGAAGTAATCCTAGACTCATTCTATGTCTTCTGCTTCTCATTCAGGAATTATCTTCCCTATGTATTCCTTAATACTGCAATGTGAGCTCACCTCAACTTTATTTGTTTTATTTGCTTTATCTGAGGAAATTCTGTGCAGCTCAGGTTAAATGTAGGACTTGCCAGAGCAGTTTTACAAGAGCTTTTGCCTGGTACCCCAAAGTTATTACCAGCCTGGGTACACTTTTATGTTAATTATGTTAAGTATGGCTGGGAATGCACAAGTGCCTTGGACATCAAGACTGACATAACGTCTCAGCCCTTCAGTGTCAGTTCATTCTTAGTGTTTCTATTTCCCTCTTCAGTTTTGGCTCTTGGATTTACCCTTACTTTTATGTGAAGTTAAGTTACTGGGTGGTTGGTGATTAACCAAGATATTAAACTCAAAATATTATACAAGCTGGAGTAGAATCAGAAGGCAATAAAATGGAAAGAGTGTCAGACTTTAGTATGCAGATATGGTCCTAAATTCGTGAAAAGTTAAAAACTCCCTTTAAAATTTAAATCTAATTAAAATCTAACATTTTCCTCTTCAATTACTTACCTGTTGATTTCCAATTCATTATTTTTCCCACAGGAATCTTATATTGGAATCTACGCTAATGATTTTTCTAACTATGTCCTTTGGAAGGAAGCTAACTTCCCTTACACCAACCTCTTTCTGAGTTTGGATAAAAGGGTTTAGATAAAAGGTTGAGGCTTTAATTTTTTATTGAATCTAATATGGAGATATACCTTTTATGTTTTGTACCCTCATTTTTTATTATGTGAGTTTTAATTGGTGTAGAAATATCCTTGAATAAACATTATGTTTAGATTCCACTTCAAGACTTGACTGTTTGCCCTAAACAAATTAACCACCCACCTTTCTTTCTCTTAGGTTGTTCTGGCGACGATGTTCCTGGTGAGTGTGCATAGGTCTCTTGAACCTGCTGAGTTTCCACCACTTCAGGAATCCCATCTAATGTGACGGATACATGGGTGATTGGGGCAACAACAATGTCATCTTCAGATGAACTAAATATATTATTATCTAATGGAAATAAAATAACTAATTATAATCAACTTTGTATTATCAAAATAATTTCATCACATAATTTCCTGTTTCTATGAAGATTAAAGTAGAAATAAAATCATGAAATCTAGTCTCTTTTTATTTCTTCTGTCCTAAATCAGACACTCTAAGTCAGACCAGGCTTGACAGGACTAATTCAATGCCTTCTCTGACTTCCTATCACCAGTCAATCTTGTTTCTCTTCTCCATTCTTCTCATTGCTGCTAAAGTTATTCTCTGAAACCCAAGTCTGGTTTGACCATATTATTCATTCTATAAAACTTTATATGCTGAAAATTAGAAGAAGAATAAAATTGACTTATTTTCCCATAGTTTACAGGGGAAAAAAGATAAGAAAACCCAAACTCCACAGCATGCCATGTGAAGCTTGTACAATTTGGATCAAACCTACTTTTCCAATCTCATCTCCTGCCTACCAAGAAGGCAGCTATACCAAAGCTATACTTCAGCTAAACCAAAGCATTTTTATCCAAACATTTCTCTCTTTTTTACAGGTCTGTGTCTCTGGCTCAACCCATTCTACCTTGAATGCCCTTCCCTATCCCCTCTAGCCACTAAAAGCTTATCTTTTATATCCCAGGTTAGAAAATTCCTGCCATAAAGCCTGTCTCTGATATTTCCAACCAGAGTCCTCTTTCCTTCCAGAACATGCTGCTATCCCTCCCATGGCCTTTATTTTTGGCTTTTACAGTTATTTACATAAATATCTTCAAAATTAATCTGTGAACTGGAGGAAAAAATAGTATCTGTTCATTCGTATATCACATTATTGCCTAATGCATTGTCATGCATACAGAAAATATTCAACATCTTAAACTGATTTAGTAATAATTGACTTAAATTAATAAATTAATGAGTTTGACTACTTTCTTGTCAGAAGAGCTCAAAGGAGAACATGGATTTAGAAATAGATGAATAGGGGCACCTGGGTGGAACAGTTGGTTAAGTGTCCAACTCTTGATTTAGGGTTCAGGTCATGATCTCATGGTTCAAGATCGAGAGAGGAAATCAAGCCCCGTGTCAGGCTCTGAGCTGACAGAGTGGGGTCTGCTTGGGATTCTCTTTTTCCCCTCTCTCTCTGCCCCTCCCCTGCTCACATGTGCACACACACTCTCTCTCTCAAAATAAATAAATAAAATTTTAAAAAACGTTTAAAAGCAATCAATAATGTGGCAGTGAATTTTCTGCCATGAGGTGTTAGAAAATTTTTCAATGAATTTTTGCCTATTCACTAGTGAATACCTATAGAGATCATTAAATTATAATAGTCTGGGCCATAAATACCCTAATACTTCTACCAATGAGGTTAAGAGAATAAATTCTGCAAAATCTGCTGACGACTAAATACTTTTTTATTCCTGAAGATCTCACTCTCCAATTTTTTTTTTTTTTAAGTCTTGTTTACCTGAATACTTTAGTGAAGGTGTCTCAACTAATACTGTACCCTAAAATGTGCTTGGGACACAAAAAATATAAAAACCTAGTCTCTGGTCTCTTGGTATTTACCATCTCTAATAACAAGCAATGGCAAGAACAAGTTTTCAAAGTATATTCACATGAACAAACCAAACACATGAACACTCACTTATTCGTTTTTCATCCAACATAGGGCCAGGAGAATCCATATTGAGGAGCGCCTCAGCAGCCTCGATTGTTTCAATCGTCTCATCCCCATTATGACAGGAGGCTTCAACTACAATACATTTAAAGAAAACACAAGTTAGCTATAAGACATCTATTGCTCTAAAACACAAAGATGTCTTGAACCTGGATACATCACTTAATACTTCAGTTTATGTATACACTTTGTATCAACAAATAAAATCTGTACTGAATATGACTCTTAAGTATTTCTCTACTTCTTTTTCTTTAAAAAAAAAAAATCACACAAGGGGTGCCTGGTTGGTTCAGTTGGTAGATCATTAGACTCTTGATCTCAGGGTCGTGAGTTCAAGGCCCCATGTTGGGCTCAGAGATTATTTGAAAAAAATAAAAATTAAAAAACTATAAAATAGAAATAAAAAAACTATACAAGATATGGGGTTTTTATTACCAAACAAAAACCTTTTGCAAGATGCTGAGAGGTAAAGAATAAGCAAAACAGAGCTCACATCTGGAGGGAAAGCACTAGTTGTTTCTGTGATAATTCTTATTTCAAGAATAAATAAGATAGGCACGGACTTCAGTAGAAAGGGTCCAGGAATAATAGCCAGAAATCTCAGATGTGCCACTAAACTAGTATGTCACTGGGCAAGTCATTTTGTGCCCACAGATTTCATATTAGAACATGACTGAGTTGGTATTCGTAGGTCCCTTTCACCTCTACCACTGACTTCAATACTCTTAGTTAACTAACAGGAATGAACATGGGTCTGTTAATCTCCAACTCTTTTCCCATTCTTCTATGACTGAATTGCTACCATCTCTAAAAAGTTTTAGTCATAGTCACATTATTAGGATCTAACCACCCTTTGATAATTAGTATTCTGGCACCATTCTCCTCTAGTGTGTACTGTAGAACACTAATTCCCCGGCTGTGCATTTGACCTAGACCAAGTATTTGAATGTTCTTAAAAAACATTAATATGTAAATGAAAATTTAATCCAGGGACATGCTAGATACTTGACACATCTCTGAATCCCAGAAAGAAGTCCAAAATAGTTTCACAGTGAATTCCTGGATGGCTTTTAGTCACTTAGCTGTAGCATTAGCACCAAGAAAATACATAAAGAGCTATAAATGCCTTCTTTTCATGGATAAATTCAAGATTCTTGAATGTGATATTCATCATCCAACATCTCTTATACCTCCTCCTTGCTATATTCCCCCCCTCAATATCTGTGGGAAAAATCACACATCACTTTTAAGTTTGTATGTGTATGTATGTATGTGTGAATATATAATCATGACTTTCAGATTCAGGGTTGGATTGAGAGTATGTAACTTGATTAATAAAAGCCCTTTAATTTTACACAAGATTAAACAGTAAATATTAAACAGTAAATCTAAACACAGTACTTGAAGTAAAAGTTCTTTGTTCTCAAACGAATGAAAGTGATAACTTACACACTGTACTACTCTATTCCTATTCAATTCAGAGAAGCAACAAAATCATCCTCTTTTTTATTAATGCTATAAACAGATTTTTAAGAAACTGATACGTCTTTGAAATTTAGCTTAACTTTGCATTAGAATATTATATCACTTATTATCCTAAATATTTCTGAACCAGTTCATTGTATCTTTAGATCAAAGATCTTCAAGAACCTACAAAATTCTTAACTGACTCCAAGTGCCTAATTGGCAATATTGAATGCCTATCTCTCTTGAACAACTGTACTTGGAAATGTGGAAGATGCAATAGTATCAGACATGACCTTTTTCCTTGTCTACTGGTAACGGTACTCAGGTACTATCTAAGAAAATAACAAACTGATTAATTTTGTGGTACAGAATAGACTGACTAGAGGCATATACACTTATAGGCAACATATATCCTTGTAAGTTAGGAAAGTTTTCTGAAGAGATGGCCCTAAGCTGAGTCATTTAAGACAGGATTTAAATATTTTGAGAGGAAAAGAGACAAATTAAAGCAAGAATAAAGTAGAAGCAAGGGCATTAGAATAAGTATTACACATTCAAAGAAAATGAGAGAACTAGTTAATGCCATTATAAAAGAAAATGTGCAACTGCTAAACACTGTTATAACAACAGCAGATTAGTTAACTTGCTTTTATACATTAATTTGATTGACTGCCTTCCCAAGGAGGAATGGGAATGGAAGGGAAAAACTGCTTGAAGAAGCAAAGAGCTGGGACAATTCCTGAAAGATGAATACAAAACAAAGAAGTTCAGGGTCATAAACTAGTCAGCTCCTCTCAATATAGGAAGAAACTCCTAACAAAGAATATTTTGTCTCATAAGATAATGGTTAACACTGGGAGTCCCCACAATCTGCCAAGCCAGAAGAGAAAATATGGAAGATGTATCTGCAGAATTCCAAATTTCAGCTAGTATCCTTTTTTTTTAAATTTTTTTTTTCAACGTTTATTTATTTTTGGGACAGAGAGAGACAGAGCATGAACGGGGGAGGGGCAGAGAGAGAGGGAGACACAGAATCGGAAACAGGCTCCAGGCTCTGAGCCATCAGCCCAGAGCCTGACGCGGGGCTCGAACTCACGGACCGCGAGATCGTGACCTGGCTGAAGTCGGACGCTTAACCGACTGCACCACCCAGGCGCCCCTCAGCTAGTATCCTTAAAACCAAATATCTATAGGTCACATGGAAGTCAAGGAACAAGAAGATAGCCAAAATAAAAAGAGGCAGGATTTTAAAATAGCTTTAAAAAGCTGTTTTCAAAGGCTTTAAATTTCCCAAGTGGTCACATTTCTGAATTACTACAAAAAGGATCCAAGAGAATCTGAATAGATTGTTGGCTAGTTTTTTAATTCTAAAAGTATATGTCCTTTTTACTTTCGGGTCAAGATGCACAAAACTTCATTAGGAGACTAATGATAGATAGAGACTATAGTCTTCATTAGGAAACTATTTCCCCTGATTGTAATGAAAAATAAATCAATTAAATTTTACTGCCATATTCTATAAATAGAAATGCTTAAAAGTCCAATTCCTCCGTAGTAGTTAAAATCAGAAAAGATAAATACCTCACAAACTCTAGCAAAGTGATTAAAAGCAGAGCACTGTAACACCTCTTATTAAAAACTTAAGTGTCAGGGCACCTGGGGGACTCAGTAGGTTGAGCGCCTGACTCTCGGTTTTGGCCCCAGGGATGTGGGCCACAGATCAAGCCCAGCATGAGGCTTTGTGCTGAGGTGTGGAGCCTGCTTAGGATTTGCTCTCTCTCTCCCTCTGCCCCTCTCCCGTGTGCTCCCCCCAAGTACTGTCATGCATGTGTGAAAAGCTCTCTCTCTAAAAACAAAACAAAACAAAACAAAACAAAGCAAAGCAAAGCAAAACAAAACAAAACACCTCAAGCCTTCTGAGGGCACCTGGCTGGCTCAGTCAGTAGAACACATGACTCTTCATCTCAGGGTTGTGAGGTTGAGCCCCATGTTAGGTACACAGATTACTTTAAAAAATAATAATAAATATAAAAATGTAAGCCTCCTATTTAAAATCTTGTAAATTTAAAGCTTAATAAAAAGCATATTATGGGTGCCTGGGTGACTCAGGCGTCCGACTCTTGATTTCAGCTCAGGTTATGATCTCAACAGTTAGTGAGTTCAAGCCCTCCCTCCCTTTACCCCTCCCCCCCATTCAGGGCGCTATGCTGACAGCCCAAAGCCTGCTTGGGATTCTCTCCCCCTCTTTCTCCGTGCCTCCCTTGCTTGGTTGCACTCTCTCTCTCTCAAAATAAATAAATTTAAAAGAAAAAAGAAAAGAAAAAGCATATTACTCCCTTTGTCAAGGCTTTGAAATTCTATGAATTGAGGAAAATGAACTACTAAAAGTAAATTTTTAAAAAATCCAGCAAATAAGGCACAAATAACTCCATAATTAATTACCATCTTCCAAATATTTATATAACTAGATATTTAATTACACAAACAAGTATAAAACAAGTTTGCTGGGTAGATGAAAATGATATAATTAGTTTGTATAATAATTTAATTGCCTATTAAGAAAAAAACAAGAAGAATTTCAAATCCTTTGTTAAGCTTTTTCTAATAAAAAAAATTAAAACATATACAAAATAGAGAAAGTCATATAACGAACCCATGTATCAAGAGCCCAGCTTCAATACTTAATAGCCAATCTTCCTTCACCCCTACCCCCCCAGCCTAAAACACACACACTGGATTATTTTATTTTATTCTTAAAAAATTTTTAATGTTTATTCATTTCTTGAGAGACAGAGAGCATGAGTGGGGAAGGGGCAGAGAGAGGGTGGGGGACACAGAATCCAAATCAAGCTCCAGGCTCTGAACTGACAGCAGAGTCTGACGCGGGGCTCGAACTCACAAACCGCGAGACCGTGACCTGAGCTGAAGTCAGATGCTTAACTGACTGAGCCACCCAGGCACCCCTATTTTATTTTATTCTTTTAAAGTAGGCTCCATGCCCAACGTGGGGCTTGAATTCACAACCCTGAGATTGATAGTTGCATGCTCTACCAACTGAGCCAGCCAGACACCCCTCACACTGGATTATTTTATTATTTTATTCTTTAATGTTTATTTTTGAGAGAGAGAGTGTGAGCAGGGGAGGGGCAGAGAGAGCAAGGCACAGAGGATCCAAAGCAGGCTCTGTGCTGACAGTAGCAAGCCTGATGTGGGGCTCAAACTCATGAACCATGTGTTCATGACCTGAGCTGAAGTCAGATGCTCAACCACTGAGCCACCCAGGCGCCCTTCACACTCGATTATTTTAAAGTGAAGCCCGGCCTATCGTTCAGTTGTAAATATGACAGTATATATCTCTAAAAGACAATACCATGATCATACCTTTTAAAAATTGTATTTTATTTTATTCTTTTTTAATTTTTTTTTTTAACGTTTATTTATTTTTGAGACAGAGAGAGACACAGCATGAACGCGGGAGGGTCAGAGAGAGGGAGACACAGAATCTGAAACAGGCTCCAGGCTCTGAGCTGTCAGCACAGAGCCCAACGTGGGGCTCGAACTCACGGACCGCGAGATCATGACCTGAACCGAAGTCGGCCGACTGAGCC